CTATTACGGGATAGTAATCCCTTGAATTCAATCTATATCAAGTACTGGATGATAATCCATGGTCTAAATCTATATCTTGTCCGGGATAGTGATCCCATGGTTTTCAATCTATATTTCCATATATATTAAATTATCTCGTGTCTAGTCCGGGATGGTAGTCCCATGATCTTAAATCTATTTTTTTACATGTGTCAAACTATCTTATATCTCTTACGGATAGTGATCCCAATTTTCATCATATAGTTTTGTGTATTAAACTATACTTTGTGATATACAACTGGTCTTACAATTAGGAAAATATGGGATTTTTCCTGGGGTAAAATACAACACGTAATCGAATTGGTAACAAATGATAACTAAACTAACTTCACATAAGAAAATATGGGATTTTCTTGGATAACAAACCTTTTTCGGAAAATAAAGGAAACGATACATTTTCATAAAACAAAACCGCTTATGAACTCACCAGCTTTATGCTGATTTTCAAACCGCTTGTATTCTCAGGTCCAAGTAGACAGGTACCCGGTGATCTCTTTTTGGTGAAGACGGAGTGCGTGGAAGACTCGCTCAACTTTTGTTAATATGATGCATATGTATATCTTGTATAACTTTACTTTTGAAACAAATGTAAACTTTCATATATAATGATAATGTAATGTATTGGTTGTTTACTGTGATTACTATGTACATTGGATTTGATACACAACGTGGAGTCCACCCGGAAATGTTTCGCCTTTGATTTTCGGGTGTGACAGATTGGTATCAGAGCCCTTGTTTATAGTGAACGGAGTATACCAAACCTTACATGGTATAAAACTATAAACACTAAAGGGCCTCAGTGCTCTGAATTAAAAGTATCTTCAAACTATAAGTATTTTCAAAAGTATACAGTGTACCGAACTGCGAAATCCGTAACTACAAGTAGAACAAAACATAAGTAAATGGGTGTTGTACACTGCGGTTAAACCTGGGCAGTTATGTAGTCGTGTCTAGGATCAATATAGCCTGGCCAACTATATTCATTCGAACACGGCCAATATGTGCTTGGGAGTGACTGTGGTACGCAGCATGCCTAAAACTACCTAATATTCCCAAACAACGAATCGTCACTGCAGCGAACCATGAAATACTATGGGGAGTATTTCTCGAGCCAATCCTTCGTAGAAAATCCTCATACACACGATGTTACTTGATCATTCCGCTAGCGATAAAATGTTCTGTCTTGATAACTCTTTCCTGCTTTATCGCTTATAAAGCTATATCTGTCTTGTTTGAGATATCCCCCTCCATATCTCTTGATTCAATTCAGAGGACTTATGATACTCTCTTTCCTGATCTTTTTAGATCAAGATGCCTCCGAGAAAGAGACCCAGCTCGAAGAAAACGACAATCCTCCTCCGCCACCACCTTCTCCTCAATTTGATCTCGCATCACTTCAAACAGTTCTGACTGCTGCAATGGTGGCAGCCATGTCACAAATGAATCCAGGTGGTTCCGGAGGTGGTTCCCAACCCCAAAATCCAGAAGACAGCCAGGAACACCGAAGAGGGGTTCTTATAAGACTTCATGAACGCGAAGCCCACAACCTTCAATGGCACTGGAGGTGTCATTTCCCTGACTCGATGGTTCGAGAAAATCGAATCAATCTTTGAAATATGTGCTGTTCGGAGTCTGACAAAGTAAAATTTGCCGCCTGCACCTTCCTTGATAAAGCCCTGACTTGGTGGAACGGCCGAGTCAAATCCTTAACCTTACCGTAGCAAATGCCATGGGTTGGGAAGCTATGAAGGAGCTTCTTCTCGCAGAATATGCCTCGGGGCGAAATTCAGAAGCTAGAACACGAACTTTGGAACCTTAAGAAGAAAGGTTCCAACATAGCCGCTTATACCTCAAGATTCGATGACCTGGCATTACTCTATCCGGGAATGGTTACCCCGGAGAGTAAAAAGATCGAGAGGTTCATCTGGGGATTGACCCAGCCAACCAAAGGGAATGTCTTGGCTGCGAAGCCAGACACCTACGACAGTGCAAAATCTTGCAAAAATCTTGATCGATCACGAAGACAACTCTGATGAGGAGCTACTACCCCCGAGCCAGTCACCAGTGGAGACGGAAGCAAAAAGAAATCTGGAACAAGCGGAAGGCCCCGAGTACGAAAGGGTCTTCTAAGAAACAGCAAATGGTAGCAGTCCATGCTGCTACTACCCCTGTGTTGATGT